TGGGGACATTCCCAAAGCTGCAGTGATGTGGGCAGTGGGGTGGGGACGTTCCCAGAGCTGCAGTGATGTGGGCAGTGAGGTGGGATGTTCCCAGAGCTGCAGTGATGTGGGCAGTGGGGTGGGTGTACTCCTGTGTCTGTCACCTCCGGCTGTTTGTGTGTGTTTCTGTGCTTGTGTGGGAGCTGTCTATGTCTGAACAGCTAAACAGGATCTCAGTAACATCTTCCTTCTCATATTGTTTTGTTGTTACCATAGTTTGTCTCCCATTATTAATTAATAGATTGACTCTCCTTCAAAGCAGGTCACTGCTTTTTACAAGTACTGAACTGAAAATGGGGACCAAATCCTCTATACAACAACATTTTGTGCTGGAAAGTCATTGGAATGTTTCAGGCACCCGCTTTGGTGCTCCTCAATTAGGGGAGGACTTCATGCATGCTGTACTGTGGGAAATGAGTGTGCATTTATTTCTCTGTGTAATTGCTTTTTGTGTGAGTGAGCTTTGTTAATATCATTGTATCACAAACTTTTCTGGCTTGCCTCAGAAACCTTCCCCAAAAGAGTAAAGAACTATTTCTAAACAAGATCCTCCAGGCCAGACACATTCTGGACAGCTGAGATGATCTGGGAAGTGGTTGTAGCCATTACAGTCACAATAACTCAGATGTCTTATTATTAAATTCTCCATCTCCTTGAATTGCTGATCTTGCTTCTAAGCTTTTTGTGACTGGAACTTCCGAGTCCCTGATGTGAGAAAAGCCTCAACAGCTTCCAGTTATCTTTTTGGTAACTTCCATCAAAATTTCTGACTAAACTTCAAAGCTTCCAGCTGCCTTCTTGGCAGTAGCTTTAGGGAGCTGAGCCAGCACTAGTGCCAGCCCCCTCAGGGTCCACACCTGCCCTCGGGATGGGATGGCTGGTGTGATGCTGCTGGTGCCTCTGCTGCAGGAAGGGAACCTCCTTACAAACCAAAAATAAGGCACAAGTCAGCTGGCAATGCTCAGCTCCTGCTGCTGTAAATAGGCTCAAGCTTTCTGAAGGCTGGCCCTGAAGTGACAGCCTTTCTATTGCCAGAGAGACATGAGAGTCAATAGTAAAGACTAACAGAAGTCCAGAGTAAAGTTTTCATCCTTGTGGAGACCCTAAACACCACCCTGTGTGAGGAGTACCTGCTCTACGTGAAGTTACTGAAGAGAGAAGGGTGTTAGTGAGCATTTAGAGGGTAACAATTCTCTGATATATATTGGCTGTGTGAGCTAAAACTGAGAAGTAATGAATGCTTATCTGGAAAGTACAGCAGAAAATTAAACTTAAAGGGGATTTGGGGAATGCCTGTTGGAAGAAAAAAGTTCAGTTTTATCTATTCAATTTTCTGAAAATAAATGCACCCACACTTCGTATTACTTAGTCTCTTATGCTCTTTTTCATTTCTACTAATTGTGAAAACTGAAAAACAGAAACTAGTTTGCTATCCTTGTTTAGCCAAAAGGACTTCCTAGAGGAAAGAAACGTTAAGAAATGCCTACAGTGCAAAACCAGTAGGATTTCTTGCAAACTAGGATGAGGTTTATCAGACATAGCATAGGTGTGGCCATTTCACCCTTGCAGGGTTTAACAGAGGGCTGGGATTTACCTAAACTCAGAGTTGAACCAGGAGAACTAGATTTGTCTCTGTCAGGAAACAAAATTTGTAATTGAGTCAATAGACACAGTGTGAAATAGCAAAGGGAAGATGCAAAACACAGCAACAGTTTGTGCTAACATTATGTGGAAGGAAGAAGAAAAGCAAGCTGAGAAAAAACCTACCAGATAATGGAAGTACCCAGTCATGATCTTCCTGTTTGCAGTGGGGTAAACTGCAGCTCCTCAGGACAAACATAAAAGTCAGAAGCCCCTGGGGGAGATGAGATCACCCAAAGGTTTGGTACCACACCAAAGCAGCCTCAGTGTATTGAAATAAGGGGTTCTCACATGGAATGCTGAAACATTTCCCTTGTGTCAGTTCAGTGCTAAACAGAAGCTGCAAACTCAAGTGGTCAAGTGGATCAGATGGAGCAATGCATGTTTGGCTGCTTATTGCTGACAACTGGCCCCAGCAAAGGCTGAAATGGTTTCATGAGTGTCAGCAGGCTGCTGTGTTCCTACAGTGTTCACAGTTAACGAGATTATTGGATTGTTGTGTGATGTATTAAAAAAGGTGATGCTGTATCTCCAATAGCGAGATGTTGGGGCAAGTCAGAGATGTGGACAGATAAGATCAGAGTGAACGTATGGGATGCATATGGGGCTGTGTATTTCAGGGATTTTGTCCATTTACTCCACTTCTTGCAGTGAATGGAGATGATTTATTACAGAGTCCAAAAATGCCATTAGTATGCTACATTTGAAATGCATACCCTAATCTTATTTACCACTGTCCTGTGCAAGGAATTTTAATTATTCTCCAAGGTTTAAGGGAAAAATACAGCCAGCAAAAAAAAAAAAAAAGAATGATGCTACAGTAAACTGGCTTTCTCTCAAGTAAGCTTTCATAAGTAACAAAGGGGAAAATGTGGAAATGTGCAAGCAGCATTCATTTTTTTACTGCATTACCTTGTGAAAGCAGTATACAAGAACTATTAATATTTTATTACAGAGATCTGTAGCTGTGTTTGCAGTTGACTGATCTGATTGTATGGTAAGAATTAAGTTGACAAACGAGCACTTCTCAAGTACAGTGCTGGTTTTTTCCTTTCTTTGTTTTCATGACCAGTTGTTAAGCTGTGTCACCTCGGCCACGATGTTGTTAGGCAGGGTTTTCCTTTTCACACTGTGCCTTTCTGGGCACGTGTTGCATGTGGTGAGGTGCTCGGAACTGAGGGAAACCTGCAGCCAGACACAGGTGACCTTGTCTGCTCCACCACTGGCACCCTTCTCAGAAGCAATGACATCTGATGTACTCTCACTGAATACACGGTGGCTTGGTTGCTGTGGGGTTTGTTGGATTTCTTTGGTTTTTTTGGGGATTCATTGATTTTGTTTTGCTTTGTTGTTGGTTTTTTCCCCTTCTCTTGGTTGCTTGTCTTTTTTGCTGTAATGCTCCATAGGCCTGATCCAGCTAAAAATTACCCAAAACAAAAAGTGTGGTTTTTGTCATAATTTATAGAGGATGACCTGTAACCAAAAGATACTGATCCTTGTGTCCAGTTCAGAATTTGCTCACTGCTCACGTGCTGCCACAGAACAGAGGGAGTGTGGGACGTGGAGCTGGCTCTGGGGCAGCCTGGGGACAGAGGTGCTCTTCTGTGTGGGACACCCCTGGGCTCTGGTCTGGCTCTGTGATCCTGCAGATGGAGAGCAGGTTTCTGCATTTGTTTTGTTTGTTTGTTTTTATTCTAAATTTATATGCTCTTAGGATAGATAAGCAGATAAATTCACATGAGTAGCCCTGTCCAAGTCAGTGAGAGCAAGAACTCTTTTGGTGAGACTAGAGCTGTTGTGCGCTGAGAGCAACCACAGTGATGCAATTACAAAATTTTATTGTTAACTGAGTGCACCATATACACTTTCTCATTTTTATTATGTTAATAATTTTCAGTGTTTTGAGCCATCTTCTGTGCAATTGTCTGGTTGCAAAAATTTCCCCAAACAAGCCTTTAATCCTTTTCACTGCTGCCTTCTCGAATCTTTATACAGGAAGAACCACAGTGCCTCCTTTTTTTTTTTTTTTTTTTTTTTAAAGCATTCAATTCCAAGTCCTTGGGATACATTTAATTCTCTGACTCTCTATCTCTGCTTTTCCAAGGAAGGGATGAGAGCACTAGATGGCTGGTTTGAAAAACAGCAGCTGACAACTGCGCTTAGTTTAAGACGGCGTTAAACTATTGTTCCTCATTTATTTGAGTCTGTCAAAGATGCATCTGATATGGAAGACCTAATTCTGGTACAATCCTCTTCTTGTGCAGTTGAGTCTGTGCTGATGCAGAGGCTTTGTCACACACATAAGTTACTCTGATATTAGGAGGAGAAAGTTATTTTGAAAGAAAT